CATCACCAGTATTTTTTACTTGTTTTCCTTTTCTGAAGAATGGGTTTTCACTGGCCTCCGTTCTGCTCAATATCCCACTTGCATCTTCACGTCCTGGCCCCAGCCAGTCAGCTAGGATTCTTATCCAGACTTGTTTACAGAATCAATTCCTACTGGTTTATCACGGTAAGTGTAATGCAGATGAGCTTTTCAGTAGGTTTTCAATTGCAAGCTGAAAATGTGACATCTTTCTAACATTTTAACTATGTCCAAAAAGTCTTTGAGCTTTTTTTTTCCATTAATTATTAATTATTTATATTTTGCATTAAATATTTGAGAAAATATAATGGTAAAATGTGACTTTAATGTTTATGCTTATTAAGGGAAATGGAGTGACAATAACATTCACAGTAGTTCTGGACCTAATGTGTAGCTTAGGTTAATGTGATGTGCTTCTGAGGACACTTTATATGAGTATTTGTTCTTTAATGTGAAAGGATATATTCAAATGTAATGGGCTATGTATTGCACATACCCTGGTTCATCCAATTTAGGTGAAAAATGTAGCCATCCAATGATTGCTTGCATCATTTCACGTGGTTTTTCTCATCTTGTCATCTTTAGACTGAAACAAGTGTCTGCTTTACAAAAACATAGTTTGTACTGATTTATGTCGGTAGAGGTGAGCAGTGAGACTGAACTGGTACTGACTAAATCACTGTTTGAAAATCTCTCTCGAGGACTAAAGCTCAGTCTCACTGCTTTGATGCAGCAAAGAACCTATCCTTGCAAAGTAGCTACAGCACCCTGGTGTCATTGCACAGCCCCAAAACAAAGATGCTGAAAAAAGTCTGTCTCATCTAAAGAATATAGACAGCCACTTACTTAAAGAGAAAAAACTTGGCTTCTTCTCAGTGGTACCTTGCTGGAGAGGTACTGTCACCTAGCTTGAAGAAAACAGATGTGTCTCTGCTGTATTGTAGAGTGTGACACAGATATTTGGCCCTCAAAATAAGTATAGCTGTGTAGTTTTACCGCTTACTATCTTGGATTAGCTCAGGGAGATCTGTACCAAGTTTGGTTATCCAATATGGATGCACTTCAAAAGACATTTTGTCCTGTTGTCAAGTTGAAAAGTGTTCTTGAGTTGGTTTGGGCATTTTTTTTTAATTATAATGGCTCGAATGTGATATTGTTTAAGAATGCAAAACAAGACTCAGATAACTTCATTTTCAGTTGCTCCATGCTTTATCTAGCTTCATTTGCAAATAAACTGCAAGAGCTACTTAACTTCTGTTAAGTTGTTCCTACCCTAAGTAGCTGATTGCATTTTTACTGCGTGTGTTTAAAACATCACAAACTTGAGCTTTTCACCTTTTAACACGGTTGGAGATCTTAATAAAACCTCAAGCACTAGTTCAAAATAAAAGACTAATTCAGTGGGACTGGCCAAAAAAGGCTGACAGTAACCTGATTTGTTTCAGTAGTGCCCGTGTTAGTCTCCATGTGCCCAATTTGGCCTGCTAGAACAACGTTGGCAGACTTCCTTCTGCCCTGAGCCTTTCTGAGGGCTCTGTGGGCTGGTGCTGTTACATATACAAAACATAGCTGTCCCAGTTATGCATTAGATGTACAAATAGCCATATGATGAGAAAAGTTATGTGTGAGCATAGTGGCATAACCAAACAATGGATGTGTATGTGGCTGGTGTGCAGCTGGTGGGGTGACGAGAGGCCACAACATGCCATTCTGGAGCGTCTCCCAAAGAATTCCAGGTCTCACAGCTTGGTTGTTCTAAGCACTGCTGTCTCCTGAGGTCTTCAAAACCACACTGCTTTATCTGCTACTTACTTGCTCAAACATCCTCTGACTTTCATAGTTTCTGTTTCGTTTTCTGATGACCTAATGGGAGTCTGATGGAAACTGTGAAAAAGAGTCTGCAGTTTAAAGCAGTCATTGTAGTCTGCTTCTGTTGTATGTTTTGTCTGTAAAAATGAGAAGTAAATGCTCTGTCAGTGTCACTATTTTTAAAATGGAATTTTCAGTAAACTGAAGGTCCATGGTGTAGTTAATGCACTGCTTTCTCTCTTTCATAGGCTGAACAGCTGATTGAGCGACTGCAAACTGAAAATGCTGCCAGTTGAAAGCACTCTTAGCCTTGTGTTGCTAGCCAGTTTGTTCTTTGTCTTTGAACTCTGATTTAAGGTTGCACAGTTTGATGTTGCCGAAAATATACCAGGATAAAAAAAGCTTTAGTTCCTTATGAGGAAATACACACAGAATTTGTAGCTGACAACCTAATTGTCCTGTTTGGATACTTGAGTCTGTATACTTCTCTGACAATAAGGCAGTGTATTTTAATTATAATTTTATATTTGTGTATATATACATACATAATACATACACACACATATGCACACATGCAGAGAACTTTTCCTAGTAAAAGGCAGGGTATAGCAGCAGAATGTATTGCAACTAAGGCAACGAGTTACTACTAACAGCATGTATATGGTACCAAAGGGAATATTTGTTGCAGAATCAAGCTTTTATTTTAAAGATGCATTGTTCTGGGATTGCAAGTAACATTTAAAACATTTAAGTTTCCATCTGTATTTGTATGATATGTTACTTATGCCTAGTTATTAGTAGATACATTGCTGAAAGTACACTACTAACTTTCTGGTGCTAAACCACTTTAATATATTACCTGTCTTACTTGCATGTCAGTGACATAGTAAATGTTAATATAACAGGTGCCCGCGATGTGATAATGGTATATAGCATAGAATATAGTTTAAATGTTTATGTGAGTAGTTGTACATTGGACTTAAAGATTGTTTCCCTCTTATGCGCACAATATTTTAAATTAATTATTGTATGTTTACAAAAAATGGGAGGCGTTCAGAGGAATTGATTTAATATACTGCTCTTCTGCATAATGACAGAAAAAAAATCCAAATTTTTAGATGGTTCTGATATTGTTCTCACTGGAATTCCCTTGGAGATGACTAATGTGGCTAAATTTGATTTCTAAATGAAATCATAAGGGAAATAGGTCTTTAGTGCAGTATGTGGCAGGCTTGTGTAATAGCAGTCTGATTTGAATTTGGGATAGCAGGGACTCAGCCCAAAACTGGAACATGTTGGGTTGTTTAAGGAACCTGCT